CTTTTTTTTTTTAATTCTGGGATTTATTTACCTTCTATAATTGAAACTCTGTTGCCTTCACTGGCACTCCCAGCTCTGAGACCGCTGCTTGCTGAAAGCAGGTATCTGGGGTTTGTTTGGCTTCTATAATTGAAACTTTGTTGCTTTTGGAGCCGTTGCTTTCGGAGCTCAGAGCCGGGCCGCGGCAGGTGGGGAACCTTGGCTTCCTCCATCACTGGAGCAAGCAAGCCTCCTGCTCGCTTCAGCTGCGTGGCTGCCGGCCGCCATCTTTGTTGGCAGTTAATTTGCATATCCTGCTGATTAGCCAATGGGAAGGGTAGCGAAGTTACGGTTAATTACCATGTTTCTCTATTATTAGATAGGACTAGAGGCCCAATGCACAGATTTGTGCACGGATGGTGTCTGGCTGCCCCACCCCGATTGGGGCCAATTGAGGCCCGCTGGCTGGGGAGAGGAGTTGTGAGAGGTGGGCTGCTGGGGCAAGGGGTCAAGCGAGGTGGCCGGCCAGTCCTGCTCCAATTTGGCCAGTTGGCAGGCTGCAGTGAGCATCATAGAGACCAGTCATTCTGGTCGTTTTAGTCACTTGGCTTTTATATATATAGATATAGATAATATTCCATTGTATGCGTATACCACATTCTGTTTATTCATCTGTATATGGATATTTGGGGTTGTTTCCACCTTTTGGTTGTTGTGAATATGATGCTATGAACATTGGTAAACAAATATATGTTTAAGTCCCTGCTTTTAGTTTTATTGCGCATACTTTGGAATGGAAATGCTGGCTCTTATGGTGGTTCTGTTTTTTAACTTTTTAAAGAACCACCAAATTGTTTTCCATAGTAGTTGTACCATTTTATGTTCCCACCTGCAATACATGAGGGCTCTAATTTTTTCATATCCTTTCCAACATTTATTATTTTCTTCTAAAAATTTTTAAATAATTGCCAGCCATCCTAATGGGTAAAGTGGTATCTTATTGTGGTTTTGATTTGCATTTCTTTAATGACAGTTCATGATAAGCATCTTCCATATTTTTATTTGTTATATACATTTAAAAAATATATCTTCTACTTTCTCACTTGATTGGTAAGGATGTGTTGACTGTAACTGTTGACTTGGCAACCATAGGTGTTCCCCATTAATATATTTTTAAACTAAATATGTTCATTTTTTCCTTTTTTTTCTTTTTAAAGATGGCTCTGAGTAAATCAATGCATGCAAGAAATAGATACAAGGACAAACCTCCTGACTTTGCATATCTGGCATCCAAATATCCAGATTTTAAGCAACATATTCATATAAATCTGAATGGAAGAGTGAGGTAGGTAACAGATGAAGAATTCTGGATACTGTATTATTCTAGTGTAATCTGAATGGATACAGTGTAGTGGAAAGTGTACTGGACTGATAGTAGACCTGAATACTAATCCTAGACATTTTATTAAACATCTCATCTGACCTTGGACAAATTACGTACCCGCTTGGGATTTCAACTTTTTAATCTATAAGGTGAGAGGATTGGACCAAATGTTTTTTAGTTTCCCCTGGCTTTAAAAAAAACAACAACAACCCTCTAAATGTCCAAATTATTACTTACCTATCAGAGATCCCGGAGTAATTGCAGAAACCTTAAAATTGTGCTCTGAAACTTGGTAGCTGGTGCCCTGGCTAGTGTGGCTCAGTTGGTTGGACATTGTCCCGTGCATGCAAAAGTTGCTGGTTTGATTTCCAGTCAGGGCACATGCCCAGGTTGTGGGCTCAATCTGTGATAGGGGACGTTCAGGAGGCAGTCGATTGATGTTTTTCTCTCTCTCTCTCTCTCTCTCTCTCTCCCTCTCCCTCTCCCTTCCTCTCTCTGTAAAAATCATCAATTTTTAACCTAAAAAAATAAAATAAAATCAAACTTGGTGGCTGGTGAGCGTCTAAAGTCTTTTTTTTTTTAAGTGTGTTATTTTGAGGTAGGAAAATAATAGCCATGATATCAAAACTGTGATTTCACAGATATTACTACTTAGGATGTCACTACATTTAAGTTAAAAAGTTGATTTTAAAAAATTGAGAAAATAATAGTATGACTGCTTCAGGAAATGACCAAGATTATAATAATGGTATGGGAGATTATAATAACTGATGTGTATGATATACCCTTGAGAAGGAAACGTTTGACTGCATTCCTAAACTCTATGGGAGTTACAGAGTGGATGGAAATTCCAAGTCAGCCTGGGGAAAGGTGTGGGGATTTAACTATGGGTGCCGGAGAAGGGGGAACAGGATTTTTGTGGAGAAGAGACAAGGTAAGGAATAATAGGATCATTGCACTGATCTCTTCCTTTCTCTTAGCAGTCTTCTTATGACTTTAGAAACAGAGGTCCTAGGGCAGGACTTAACCTGGGGACCAAGATACCTTAGAAATCATATAAAAGTATTTAAAAATATATTTATGTTCATTTTTCTGGGAAATAATCCTTAGTTTTCATTTGTCTACTTCATTCAGTAAAAAGTTGACTCACAGCCTCAATTATGAACGCTTGTACTACTTAATATTTATTGATTAACCATTCTGTGCTAAGTTCTAGAAGAGCCACAATAAATAAGAAAGACATGTGGATATGTGTTACCTGCTGTTGAGTTGGCTCTGATTCCTGGTGACCCTATGAATGAGTGATGTTCACAATGTCCTGTCCTCAACAAGCCCTGCTCAACTCCACAGACTCACTTCTCTGACTTTTTAGAGTCAGTCCATCTCATATTTGGTCTCCTCTTTTCCTGCCCAGCAGTATTGTCTTTTCCAGAGAACCTTGCCTCTCCCGATGTGCCCAGAGTAGGACAGCTTCAATTTTGTCGTTTTTGCTTCCAGCGATGTTTCAGGCTTAACTTGCTCTAGGACCCACTTGTTCATCTTTCTGTTGGTCCAGGGTCTTTAGAGCTTTCCTCTAACACCATATTTCAAATGAATCAATTTTTTTCTGTCCAACTTTCACATCCATACATAGTTATTGGGAATACGAGGGTGTGGTTCTAATGACACATTTTGCTCTTGGTGATCTTTCCTGATTCTTCCATTTCTGCCCTTTTGAGTCTCAGTCTTCTCTTGATTTCTTGGCTACAGTCTCCATTTGAATTGATGACTGAACCAATATAAGCAAAATCTTTAACAATTCCAGGGTCTTCTTTCAAAGTTAAAGTTGTGTATTTCTTCTGCAGTTGTGATTTTCGTCTTGATGTTCAAATACAGTCCTGCTTTGGCACTTTCTTCTTTCGTTTTCATTGGAAGTTGTTTCAAATCATTGCTACTTTCTGCCAGTAAGATGGTGTCGTCTACACATCTTAAGTTATTCATAGTACTTCTACCAATTTTCACTCCTCCCCCTGAGTCTGGCCCAGTTTTTCATATATGTTTTGCCTACAGATTAGAATAGGAAAAGACAAAAAAAAACTATCTTTGCAGTTTACACACCAGTGGGGAAAGTGGACAAATAAACAAGCAATTAACCTTATTTGCCTCAGTGTGTCAGAATCTGTGGGGTGTGCAGTGGAATCACATAGAAGAGAAATCTGACCTCAGCTTTGGGATTTAGAGAATCATTTGAAAGAGAAGTGGTATCTTAGTTGAGTTCTAAAGAATGAGTAGAAGTTAGCCAGGTAGAAAGAAGAATATCACAGACTGAAGGAGCAGCATGTGCAAAGAGCACTGAGTAGTAGGGGAACTGTGAAGTTGAACATGCCTAAAATGTGGTGGACAAGTGACCGGAGATAGGGCTGGGGAGGATTATGCTTGTACTTTATAAGGCCTAGTGAGGAGTTTGGAATTTATCTTAAGGACATGGTGTGGAGAGTTTCTGTGTCTTTAGAGTTACCCATCCTGTCCTTATTCACTAAAGTTTTAAAGTAGGGGAATAACATATTCAGAATTGTGCTTAGGCAGATGTATTCTAGGAGTATTGTGGAGGATGGATTGCAGGGGAAATTAAGACTGGAGGTACAGAGAAGTAAGTAGAAAATGGTTTTAATAATCCAGTTAGGTACATTAGTGGCCTAACTAGGTAGAGGTAGTAGGGATAGAGATTACTGGATAGATTTGAGAGAAATTCATGGATAGAATAGCAGGACATGTTGGAAATTAAGAAGTAGGAGCCCAGTATGGTGTTTAGGATTTCAAATTAGCAAGAGGATAGGTAGTAGTGCCATTTGCTGAAGTAGGGACAAGGGGAAATGAGCTGATTTGGGGGAGGTGATGTTTTCAGTTTCCAGCATATAGAATATGAGAAGTCTCTGGGATATTCAAGTGGAGTATTTCGTAGGCAATTGAGAACAGAAGTCTGAAGGACACCAGTAATCTGGGGTTGTTATTAGTGAAGGTCCTGGGTCTTTGAACTGAATGCTGAAGAATGAATAGAAGCAGAGGGAAGAATTCCAAGTATAGAGAACAGAATTTTGTGAAAAGCATGTTAAGTTTGGAGAATTGTATGTAGATAGGGCTAAAGCGAATACAGTGGGGCCTTGACTTACGAATTTAATTCGTTGGGACTGAGCTTGTTAAGGAGCTCGTTAACTCAAATTACTCTGTCAACTCAATGCAAAAAATCTGCCTGGAGACAGCTGGTATCTCAAAAAACTCGGACACGCTGAACCAGGAGCCCCACTGTATAGGATAGCAGATTGGGGAAGAAAAGATGAGACTAAAAGGAAAACAGAACAAGTCACAAAGAGCCTTTCGTAGCATACAAATAGAATGGCCTTGATTGCTTAGACATTGAGGAACCAGAAGAGGATTTTTAAGATGGTTAGATTTTGTAAATGGTTTAAGATTTTTTTTTTTAATCACTCAGGTCCAGCTGGTGTGGTTCAGTGGTTGAGCGTCAACCTATGAACCAGGAGGTCCCGGTTTGATTCCCAGTCAGGGCACATGCCCGGGTTGTGGACTCGATCCGTAGGCTGCTGATCATTGATTCTCTCTCATCATTGATGTTTGTCTTTCCCTCTCCTTTCTTCTCTGAAATCAATAAGAAATATTAAAAAAAAAATCACTCAGAGCAGACCAAACAGATCTGTTAACACATTTCTGAATAGACATTCAATAAATATTTGTTCAGTCATGAGAATAATTTCTCTATAAAATCTATTTTCCATTTACCTAAGGCATACCTAAAATAAAATTACACATAAATGAAAAAGGGATAGGTAAATAAGAGTTCCTTCCAAATCTGCAAAATTAAAATACAAGGCAAAAAAGCATGAAATTGGAAAAGGTCCTTGTTTATATTAATAAAAGAAATAATTTTCAATGGAAATTTTAAAATGAAGACTTTTAGCGTTTTAAAAAATACAGCAGAAATATCTTTTTAAAAGTGTTTGACAATTTGGAGACATTTCTCTTTGTATTTCTAACCAAATAGAAATACTTGGTTAGCAGTACTGTTAACTATTAATCAGACATTATCTTAGTTAATATCAAAACAATATTTTGATTAATACCAAACAGTGTTTGGTTAATACTGTAACCAAAAATAAACTCCAGAGGATCCGTGAATGCTTCGAAGACAATTAGATAAAAATACTTTTTTTTAATCCTCACCCGAGGTTATTTTTCCATTGATCGTTTTAGAGAGGTTGGAGGAGAGAGGGAAAGACAGACAGAAACATTGATGTGAGAGAAACACATTGATTGGTTGCCTCCTACACACACCCCTACTGGGGCTGGCAAACCTGCAACCAAGGTATGAGGTATGGGGCCCTTGAACAGGAATCCCTGGGCCAACACTCTAACTACTGAGAAAACTGGCCAGGGCTTTTTCCCCCTTTTTATTGAATTTATTGGGGTGACACTGGTTAACAAAATTATAGAGGTTTCAGGTCTGTACACTATATTGTGTGTTCACCCCAAGTCAAATCTCCATCCATCACCACTTATCCCCCCTATATCCTCCTAAACCTACAAAATGAATGCATATTTTATTACTAGAGGCCCAGTGCACGAATTTGTGCACAGGTGGGCCCCTCGGGGTGGCCTACAGAGATCGGGCCCCAGCTCGTGCCCCCAGCCTCACAGCCCCAGCCTGCGCCCGCAGCCATGCAGCCCCACAGCCCTGCCTGGCATCCCGCCTTGGCATGGCACCGCTCCTTCACCTGCTTCACCATCCTGCCTGCGGGGTGATTGATCAGGGCCGGGCCCCCCACCCAGCTCCCTCAGTGCCTGGGAGCCTGGCAGCGGCCCCACCCCCTGCTGCTGCTGCTGGTCACTGTCTGTAGGGCGATTGGATCCCCACTCGCACCCGCCTTGACCTGGCGCTGCCCCCTCACCTGCTCCACCATCCCGCCGTG